TGGCAGTGCCACCCGTAACCTTGACGTTAGCCCCAAAGAGAAGCCAGTGGAGGGCACAGCTGACGGCAGACACAGGCCAAGTGTGGACTGTCATGAAAAACCTTTAAACTTATCCCTGGGGGCATTTCACAATTGCCTGGCAATTTCTTCGAGTAAAAGTTTGATTCCAAGTATCACCTGTCCGTTTTGTACCTTCAAGACATTTTATCCAGAAGTTTTAATGATGCACCAGAGACTGGAACATAAATACAATCCTGACATTCATAAAAACTGTCGGAACAAGTCCTTGCTCTGAAGTCAGCACACCGGATGCCCACCAGAGCTGCTGGGGAAAGACGTGCCTCCCCTGTCTAGTTTCTGTAAACCCAAGCCCAAGTCTGCTTTCCCAGCGCAGTCCAAATCCCTGCCATCTGCGAAGGGGAAGCAGAGCCCCCCTGGGCCCAGCAAGGCCCCTCCGACTTCAGGGATAGACTCTAGCCCGTTAGCCCCAAGTAACCTGAAGTCCCGCAGGCCACAGCAGAATGTTGGGGTCCCCGGAGCTGCTGCCAGACAACAGCAGTCTGAGCTGTTTCCTAAAACCAGTGTTTCCCCTGCACAGGAGGAGACTGAAAGACCCAAGACAAAGTTGAAACCCCTCCCTGTAGCTCCTTCTCAGCCCGCCTTTGGCGGCGGCAGCATCAATGGTTCCATTGACTACCTTCCCAAGAATGACAGCCCATGGGCACCTCCAGGGAGAGACTATTTCTGTAATCGGAGTGCCAGCAACACTGCCGCTGACTTCAGAGATCCCCTTCCAAAAAGACTGAAGTCCACCGTGGTTGCCCTTGACGTCGACCACCAGCCTGGGGCCAATTACAGAAGTGGCTATGACCTTCCCAAATACCACCGGGTCAGAGGTACCATGTCCCTGTTGCCGCAGGACTGCGTATACCCGTCGTCGGCGCTGCCCCCCAAACCCAGGTTCCTGAGCTCCAGCGAGGTCGAGTCTGCAAACGTGCTGACTGTTCAGAAGCCTTATGGTGGCTCCGGGCGCTACACTTGCAGACCTGCTAGTAGTCCAGCCTCCAGCTGGATGTTAGAAGGAAAAAGGCCTGTGTCATATCAACACTTATCTAACAATACGGTACAAAAGAGAAACTATGAGAATTTTATTGGGAACGCACATTACCGTCCAAATGATGAAAAAACTTGATTCACTAATTTGGGGGATAAAAGGTCTTGGTGCACATCAGGGCTTACTCTCCATGAAATTGAATTGTCGTTAATCCTTTGAGAAGTGAATGGTGAAAGCTACTGAAATAAGCTGTGATTGTGCTGTACGTAGCACATACAAGGAATCTGCAAGGAACGCTACAATTTTGTAAAGTTGTTCAGTTAACTTTTGTACCAAATAGCAATAAAATCTAGTTGGAACAGTTGGAGCCTACATACATGGGGACTGGAAAGCTCTATTTTGTCCCTGAATAATATTTTTTTAAGAATCGACCAAATAAGAAGTGGAATTTTCGCATACTTGAGCACTGCTGAAAAATTATTTGGGTTGGGGGGGGGGAAGTGTATATAACGCTTTCACCTCAGGTAAAAATCTGTAAATATCTAAGTTGTAAACCTGCTTGTTCAAATACTGTGTGTATTCCTTTTCACTAATACAGTTCATCACTTGGAGCAGTTTCTGCTATTATGCTCTTTCATTTAAAATGTATGTTTTTTTTTTAAACTCTCAATGATTTTGTATTATGTTGAATGCTCTGAAACCTATTGTTGTCTTAAAATTGTTAATGGAAGTATTGACCCTCTATGAATATGTGCTGCAGATAAGGAGGTCAGCCATTCTGAATTATTGCAAGTTTCAGCATGTCAGCTGGGGACGGCACCTTCTTCCTTGCCTCTCCAGATTGTCCTGGAACCTCCAGATCCTTGACTGAGGGGGTTGGGATGGCTTACAGGATTTTTAAGTGAGTCTGTCTACAGAGAAGCGTTTTCTCTGTAGTGGAGAGCCACACATCGTGTAAACATAAGAAACTGTATGTGTAGTTACTTAAATTTGTTTCTATCAAACCATTTTTGTTGGAAAATTCAGTGTTTGGGGATATTTGCCTAAATTAGCATATAAAAACATAAATGCTAAATTATACATGTGGATTGCAGATTTTGGAAACAGTTTTAAGGGAAAGTTTTGGGGAACGTTTTACGTTTGTATGTGGTAGTCTTAGTGTGTCTGGCATTTGGGTGAGCTGTGGACAGACACTAGAGTTGATTATAGACACATTGATTCTGAAGAAGGAACTGCTGGCTGAGCCTCCTGGGAGTCCAGAAAGAGAAAATCTGTTTCTGGACCTCAGTTACCTTCCCATTTTTGGTTGCTTGGAAGCAGTCACATTTTTCTCAATGCACATGCAATTTGGGTTTTAGAGAAGATGGTCACCAGCTGGCTTCCTAGATATTTTAAATTTTTGTTCTTTAATGTGCTGGCCATGGTTGAGTTTATTAGTACATGGGCTTAGCGACCACAAAAGACTTTATTAAGAAACTGTTTCAAAAATAAGTTTGCATTGTTCATTTTTCTGGCCTTCCTCTTCTCCATAGAGCAAGGGTAAAGTTCTAGAAGAATCTTTTTTTTTTTTTAATTATGCAACATAAGGTGTCCTTGATAGGAATCTTAGCTCCTGTGTTACAACAGAGAACTAATTTGAGATCAGTCTGCTGACATTGCAATGAAGTGCTTTGTATCAGGAAAATGTACACTATTGACCTTTTTTCCTGTTCACAAGCTGAGCCATATGTACATAATCTAGATTTTGTTTTCATAGTTTTGCACTTTTATAGCCTATTTTTGAAGATTAACACATTTGCAAGATGACTGACTCAATCTCTGCCTAATCCAATGAGTGTGACAGAGAGCTTGCTGTGACTAGAAACATAAATCTTAAAAGGGGGTTTGTGATAATAGAGGGCTGGAATTTAAACCTGCATTTAAAAAAAAAGAATCACCAAATCTGTTTGAAAACAAGTCAGTTTGTGTCATGCTGGAATTTTTTGGGCTTTCAAATTTGTCTTTTTAACCATATTTTTGAATGTATAAAAATACCAATTATTTTCCTACAGCCCTTTGTACTTCAAAATATGTTTTTGTGTACATCAGTATTAACTATTGGTATACTACTGGTTTTATATGTGTTTTTTTTTTTCTTTGAGACAACAGTACATATAATAGAGGTACAATTTGTGGGATTTTTATGTATTTATTTCATTCCAGTTTGATTTATTTTAATTGTTGATACTTAAGTTGTCAAACAGTAGACATTACTTGTTTTATTTATGATATATTTCAGCTTAAAGTTATGATATGTGGAAGTGTAAATATAGATTTGGTGTTTTGAAAAAAAAAAAAAAAGAAGAAAGAAACTCACTCAAAACCACACAATTTCATGGCAATTGAACAACTTGCTCCTGAATGACTTCTGGGTAAATAACGAAATTAAGGGAGAAATTAAGAAGTTCCTTGAAACTATTGAGAACAAAAAGACAATATACCAGCGTCTCTGGGACACAGCTACAGCAGTGTTAAGAAGGAAATTTACAGCACTAAATGCTCATATCAGAAAGCTAGAAATATCTCAAATAGACACCCTAATATCACAATTAAAAGAGCTAGAGAGGCAAGAGAAAACTAATCCAAAAGCAAGCAGAAGAAATAATAAGATCAGAGAAGAATTGAAGGAGATAGAGACACAAAAAGCCTTCAAAAAAATCAATGAATTCAGGAGCTGGTGTTTTGAAAACATCAACAAAATGAATAGACCAGTAGCAAGACTAATAAAGAAGAGAGAAAAGAATCTAATAGACAGAATAAAAAATGATAAAGGGGATATTACCACTGACCCCACAGAAATACAAACTACCATAAGAGAATACTATAAACACCACTATGCAAATAAACTGGAAAATCTAGAAGAAATAGATACATTCCTGGATGCATACACCATACCAAGACAAAACCAGGAAGAAGTTGAATCCCTAACTAGACCCAAACAAGCTCTGAAATAGAGGCAATAATTAATAGCCTATCAACGAAAAAAAGCCCAGGACCAGACAGATTCACAGCTGAATTCTACCAGAAATACAAAGAGGAGCTGATACCATTTCTTCTGAAACTATTCCAAACAATTAGAAGAAGAGACTTCTCCCTAACTCCTTTTAGGAAGCCAGTGTCATCCTGATACCAAAACTGGAAGAAGACACAACAAAAAGAGAAAACTTCAGACCAATATCCCTGGTGAACATTGATGTGAAAATCCTCAATAAAATTCTGGCAAAAGGAATCCAGCAGCACATTTAAAAATGTATCTACCGTGATCAAGTCAGCATGGTCATTTTCACAATATTGATTCTATCCATCCATGAGCAAGGGTTGTGTTTCATTTGTTTCTGTCACCTATAATTTCTTTCAGCAGACTTTTGTAGTTTCTTCTAAATTCTTAAATAAATTTAACATGGCTATTTTAAATCATTGTCAGTGTCAACATTTGTAATATCTTTACATTTATTTCTATTGATTAGTTTTCTCCAGGTTATGTGTCACATTTTCCTGCTTCTCAAATGTCTAGAAATTTTGTTGAGGTTCTAGATTTTTATTTTATCTTTAGAAAGTCTTAAGTTTTGCATTACTATCCAATTAATTTACTGATAGATTATTTTGATCCTACTTAGGCTTAATTATAGATTTTGGTAGGTTGGGTTCAGAGTAATTCTTACTGTGACACTTTTTCTTTCTTTCTTTCTTTCTTTGTTTCTTTCTTTCTTTCTTTCTTTTTCTTTTTCTTTTTTTTTTTAATTGAGATGGAGTCTCTCTCTGTCATCCAAGCTGGAGTGCAGTGGTGTGATCTCAGCTCATTGCAACCTCTGCCTCCCGGGTTCAAGTGATTCTCCTGCCTCAGCCTTCCGAGTCACTGAGGTTACAGGTGCCCATCACCACCCCCAGCTAATTTTTTGTATTTTTTAGTAGAGATGAGGTTTCACCATGTTGGCCAGGCTGGTCTTGAACTCCTGACCTCAGGTGATCCACCCACCTTGGCTTCTCAAAGTTCTGGGACTACAGGTGTGATCCACCATGCCCAGCCAATCCTGACTGTTTCTAAGGCTTGGTCTTTCTGTGGTCTCAGGTGAATTCCCAAATTTCACTCTGGCTAGGTGAACTTGAGTCTGTTAGTACAGTGAATTCTCTAGAATCACACTGCTGAGTTTACACATCCCAGTGGCCACTCTCTGCCAGACCTCATGGAATCTTGCCTTATATGAACACATGTTAGTATTCAGCCAGAGACTCAAGGCAGGCCCAGTGCAGATTTCTGGAGCTCTTTCTCTAAACATTCCCTCTCCTTCACTGCCCTGATCCACAAATTCCAGCTGCCTCAGCAGTCCCCATCTACAACCTTTGTTTTCTACCTCTCATAAGACCATTGCTGTCTCTTTGGGCTCCACAATCAGACACTGCAGTTTTGTAAGGACCTTCATGCAGAAACCCTCAATGAATACGGAGCTCACCTCATGTGTTTCCTCTGTCAGTGATCCCAGCACTATGCTATGCATTGTGCAAAGACTGAAAACACATGTTGCATGCAGTTTTTCTAGTTTTATAATATTTGAAGGGTAAGTCTGATATATCTTATTCTATCGTGGCCAGAATTGCAAACCTAGGTCCAAACCATAGTTACAAAATAAGATGTAATAAGAGCTTAAGGCCAAAGACCAAGAATAAAAATAGTTATTACTATTATGTTTCACAATGACAAAATTCTATAAAGCACTATATTCCAAAGATGAGAAAACTGAGACTTGGAGAGGTTTAGGTAAAGTCAGTTAAACAGTCAATGACCTAGACATGATTTGAACAAAGACAAGTCATAAGAGTCTACATTTTTTTCTACTTACCAAAATGCTTAAAGTAATTAAAGCACACTTTTTTTTTGGTCAATTGAGAATTGAACTGGCTTAGAAAGACTGATGAACTTTGGGTTGGTGAACAGATTCCAAGAGCAGAGCACTTCCTTGGTAAAGAGAACGGAATGTGGTGGGAAGTATTCGAGGGCCAAACTAAAGGTAAGGCTTTGTGTGGAGACGAAGTTGAATAGCTTGGGTGAAGTACAGCAAGACTTTCCAGATTGCAGTTTATTATAACATTCTAGCAACTGATTTTTTTTTTTTCAATTTACTGGCAACTACATAATTATATACACTTTCACAGAAGCTTCCTTTTCTGTGTTTATAGTTTCATGAATACTGAAATCTTTGCGAGTCCTATTTAAACAAATGATTAAAGAATT